ACAAAAATGTTATGTAAAGTTAATCAATAAGCGCTTTGTTACAAAATTGTATAGAAATATCGTACGCGTGAAACGGATAACGACGCGGCTATTGAAACTCAAGAAAATTCTCTTTATAGAACTTTGTAACGTAAATAATTGCATTGTTCATTGACGTGAAACTTGTATCGGAGCGCAAGAGAAACATTTTACAATGAGCAATTAAAAGAATCATTTTTACCATATTGTTATATTTTACAACAATTAACGACAGGGGATTGTCACCAGATGATAAAAGAAACAAACACGTAACTACGCTGACACAATAATCCAGTAAATTTCCGTGCGTTGTGATGGAAAATGCATCGTTATCTACTTTACGCATAGAACATTTGTTTGTAACTTTGTAACAAAGCGTTTATTAACCTTTTGCGCTCCTATGTCGAGTGCGACTCGAAATCAATTTTTATCTCAGAAGCTCCTTTGTCGAGTCCCACTCGACATTCTTTCAGTTCCGCCTTTGTTTGTGAAACGCGCGAAAGAAAAGCAGGATTTCATGCTGGAAATTGTTTCAAGATATATCATACGCTTAAAAATTACAAAATACAACAATAGTGCGAATAAAACTGGTATTTAAGTGAATTTCTTTCTTCCTTTATTTATTTAAATCGTCTTATTTTTTAATTAAAGTAGATTTCGAATAAAACACTTAAAAGCGTTGGGAGCTACTGGCAACGAAATTGAAACAAAATTCGGAGTGCAAAGGGTTAACAAACTTTACGTAACGTTTCTTTCTTCTCTTTCCCTGTAGAATCAGATTCTCTCACAGTTCTGCCGTTTAAGTCTGGGACAACCTGTATTTCTCTAAGTCCAGAAATCCACAGAGAAGTTTCTTGGGGGATTAATTCGACCTAAAAGAAACGATAGTCACAGTACAAATCGAAAGAGAATTCCTATACAAACGTTTCTGTAAATCCCTAGACCTTGGAGAAGTAAGTTTTACTTCCACAAAACGTATCTTTAGAAATCAAAGGGAAACGATAACAGCCGCGATCTTAACGGTTGTTAACTTCCAATCGAAATTTTCACAAAATTACCGTAATATTCGTCGGCTTAATATCCTCGAACTTAGAAATCTACTAAAACGAAAGACAATTATCGTAATTATCCGAGAGAAGATGGAAGATTTTTGGTGAAAGTAAATTTATTGTTAAAGCTCGGTGTAAAAATATTTTCAGTATTTCGGGGAACTAATTCCGCGGAATCTATCCGAGAGGTGAACGAGAACTTTGAGCTGGTAATCCCCGAGGAGACGAAGATTTACTTAAACAGGGAAGGAATCAGTTCGAACGAAGTGAAACGCTTGTATCTGGGCGAAGATACAATTAGCGAGAAAACGGCGGATAAATATTCAAATTATTTGAGCGACGTGATGTTCCTTCAGGGTATTCACGAGGTTGTCAATATCCAGATGGAAAGGAACAACCACCCTACGTATTTTTACAAGTTCACTTACGAACCAGAACAGTCGCTAATGAAAGCGACGTTTAATATTACTCTGCCAGGTATTTCATATTTTAATTACAATTTCTAATATGCTTTTAAATCCTCGGATTATTATCGATCGTGTGACCAAGAAGGTTCTGTCGTATGTATCTTATAAGAAAAAAAAAAAGATGCAGAAATAGGAAAAAGAAACATAATTTCCTTTACCCAAATAGCTTACTCTTATTTTGACGAATGATCGTTCTATGTTTTTTAAATGTTTTCTTCCGCTATAAAAATACGATAGAGCTTTTGTTAAACTCTCAGAAATTCATCGGTGAAGTGGTTTCTTCCAAAATTGTTTCTATTTAATGGAAAAAATTTGTATTTGTAACGAGTATCGAGTAATTTTATATTTTTCATGATGATATTGTAGCGATGTTATAGACTATAGCGAAACATAGAAAAAATGTGTATCGTAGTAAAAAGCATAGATAATGTCTGTTAATGCTCCTTTTGCATATTTTTTTGTTAACTGATAATGCTTATTTCGATTCTGGTTGTTTATGATTTTTTAGAGTGTCAAATATCTTGATCGACACAAGGAGTAACGTTTTCTCAACGCGTTACTAATAAAGATTTTAAATAAAATATGAAAATAACACGTAAAACACATTATCTACCAACTTACAAAATACACTTCACTGTATTTCTCTACGTATTCAAGAGTAAGAGACGAATCTAATACGAATATAACATGAAAATAAGGTATTCCAAAGTTAAAGAATACAAGAAATGCAATCAGTTCTCACACAAAATTTACATAACAATTTTCATAATCTATTTTTTTACCAAAAATTAGGCATCCTATTCCATAGTAACGTGAATCATAAAATCGAAGAATTTGGACAAATGACAGCTTAGAATTCCGCTACGTTGAAAATGTCTCGAATCAAAAATTTACCGAAGTGACGAAAATTACTAATGAACTATTAATAGCTAAATTAAATTACTATAGTTAATTAATAGTATTTAATAATTAATAAAAAATAGATTAAGATAAATAGAAATTCAATAATTTAATAGTCAATTAATAGTATAGTTAAATTGCTATTAATATTTCATTAGTAATCTTCGTCACTAATGAAATATTAACAGTATCAACTTCGAACAGATAACGAAATTAGCAAGAGATTCGGTAAATGTAAATAGATACAACTGGAAAGGTCGTTCAAAACTTTCGACCATTAACGTACCCAAGTTCCTATGGTTGAGATCGAAGTCTTTCAAGTGTAAGCTTGGAATCTTTGATCAAAGATTCGAGTATCCACCAAAGCTGAAGCGAACGAACGTCTGTTTACGTTGTTACACGCTTAACAGTGCGCCTCAGTCTTTAACGATGTTCAGCAGTTGCCCCCTAATAACGTCAACCGTAAAGAGTCGTCGAAATCAGACTGCCGTACCGACCAAGCCATCAATTTGAACTTTTTGCTTGTAGAAGTTTCAGAACATGATTTTAGACTGTCGTTCAGAGCAGTTGGAGAAATGTAACTTTCTTTTTGGTCATTTATAGGAGCGACACACGCGGAAGAGTTGCAGTACTTGTTCTATGCGAATTTAAGTAAAACAATGGGCATGGAACCATTCGAAGTTGGAAGCGAGATGTACCGAATGATGGAGTGCTTCACTCAGATGTGGACAGACTTCGCAAAAACTGGGTACGTGTTTTCCTATCTTGCAAATTTATTGTCCAATATTTCTCTCGCATGGAGAAGCATACAGATGCCGAATACTCATGTATACTACAACGATAGGAGCATTGGCGATTCTTCCGAAATGTATAATTACCGCGATGATAATTTTGCGAACGAATAATTGGCGCGGAAACTACACGATGATAATAAACGTATCGCATACTGTAATTTAAATTTTTCCATCGTCATAGGGTAGCCAGAGATATAAAAGTAAGAAATAAAAAAATTGAAAATATAAATAAGAATATCGGAACTTTGTTCTTCCCTCTTGGGTTATTAATGAGACGAAGCCAATGTTTTCTTTTCGTTTTTTAGTCATACATGGATGTAAAAATAAAAAAAGAAACGTCGAGCTTGAATATCGTTGAGAAACGTGTGTTTGAAATAAAAAGATATCTTAATTAAAAAGGGAAATAATAAATGCACGGCTACGCAATTGAATGAATACTTCTCGCATGGATATGTTTCTACGTTTTAGTTCCGGACGGTTATCTCGTACTTGTATCGGGCTACACATATCGTCATTTTAGTGTAGAGTTCCATGCAACTGCAAAAAAGTGATTTGTCAGGGGAAGAATAAAACCAAAAATTCATTAAAATTTATAACTAAATAATGGAGAAAACGTTTCGTAGTGTCGCGATAAGCAACGTTGTTTGCGCCTTTTAGTTACTTTTAAGCGTGTCTGCGACGCAACTAACGCTTACGTCGTTATTGCTATGAGATACGGTAGTCAACACAAATATTTCAATAACGAGGTTACTGCCATCTAGTGGACAGAAATGTTCGGAAGATTATGAAACTTTTAGCTGCTTTTACAGTGAAAAGATTAGAGATCTTAGTTATATCTAGTAACGAATTTATTTCAAAATTTGCAAACTTGCGGTTACATTGTCATTGTGCTGGAACGGCAATATGTATGTCCGTGTACGTGAAATAGCTCTAAAGTTTGTTAAAAATGTGCTATATCGTGGAACTAACGTTAGCATACGTACTCGTTACGACATTATCAAAAATCGATACAGCAGAGTTGAGAAAGGAAATTTTTGTTCTCATTGAAGGAATCCAACACCAAAGACCACAGAGTTGATTCCAACGATTTGGCAACCAGTCATTCAAGGGGATAGGTATATTTATATGAATATTAACAAGACGCTCAAAATGGAAAGTTGCAGTAAAGAGGGACAGAGATTCGATTGGAAGAAAATCAAAAACAAATTGTAACATTCGATCGTATGATTTAACATTTATAAAGGATCAAACATTAAGATAGCAGGCCTATCTCGTCGATAAACCAACATTTGAGATATTTTATATTCATTATTATATTCATAAATATTCGCACGTGTATTATTTTTGATGCAAAAATAAAATACTTTTTTACGAACTATGTTAATACTTTCTTCCTTACTATCCGAATTATTATTCCTCAAATAACTTTAATTATTTAATGAAACGAAAATGCTTTAATCTATAAATATTACTAACTACTGCATGAATTACTATATCTACTATCCTTTATTAGAACAATATTCGAATACTTTAAACCACGAAGAGAATTATAATAGTTATACAGAATGTCACAAAATATATGGTGAATATTTACGGGGTTGAAAACGACATTTTTGTAGTCCAACTTCTTTCATCGTTTTTAATGTCTAGAATTCATCCTACTAATATCCGCCACATATTATGTGACAACCTGTACAAAATTTGTCTACTTTCCAAAATACTAATTCTATTCAACATCTATTCAATAATAAATCGTAATGTTTACTCGTTGACAGCACAAAGTCGACTGTTGCTTGAACGCTCATCGCCGGCTTGCTGCCAGAAGTACTCATGGACTTATAAGACTCTGGAAGCACGGCGCACGCTTATATATATAACCGCGCATGCGCAGAATCATCCATGCCGCAAAATTCTTCCAACTATGCCAATCGTGCGATTCTTTCAAATTTTATCGCGAAAGTTGCACGAAAACTTAAACGAGACCTAACTGAATCACCAAATAAATACGTCCGAATAAAAATATACACTTAAAGATCAGCCCTAATGCGACGAATCGGCGCTCTGTGCGAATTCGCTCGTTCTCGCAGTTCTAACCTAACCTAAGTTCGCCGTATAAACACGCGAGTGACGTTTGAGATTAGTCAACGCTGACCTGGCTTCGTTTCGTAGCGAGATTCCTTGTTTTGTCGCGAACTTCTCATCGCACCTGCACCACCGGAATTATGGACAGTTAAAAATGCCCGCGTGAATAACCGAAATCGCATCTTTACGGGTAAATTCTCAGTGTTCCGCAGATCATTGTACTGGAAAATCGCTCGACAAAATTTAGACCGGCTTCCTTCATCGGTCATCATCGCCAAGATAGATAAAGGTATACACAGACATCTTGTTGTTTAGTTATCAGCCATGTAAACGACGATACGTAATGTCTTCGCGTATTATTCAATTATTACCTCATCCACGGCTTTCAGGAGCGTTAAGAATAATTTCGCGAGATATTTCCTATATAGGGTGGACCGTAAACAGGGCAGTTGCAACTGTTTTTTTCAGAATTGGTAACCGAAGGGAGAGAGATAGAGAGAGAGAGATTGAACGATAAGCACGTAGAAACTGTTTTTCTTGGAAATGCTTGATTACGAGAGATAAAATTATTTTCCTTATTTTGGAGAACTCAAGATCATTCGGGATTTTTTGCATGGTAAACATGTTAGTGTTAATATATTGTATAAACCTTCTTTCTTATAGCTGGATACGAGATTTCCGTAAATACTTGTATTCTCTAGAAATATGTGTGAAAAACGTTTACAACCTTTGACGGGCAGCATTACATGTGAATATTTTATCTAATATGCGATAAACGGTTTCTTTTTCTTGTATTTTGTTTTTCCGTTTTTGTCAGTTTTCTTCTTTTGCTTCAGTACATTTTTAAACTTCTTGTTCAAGGACGTCACCTTTTGTTTCTCACAGAATTTAAATCGCTTTACTAATAAATAGGGGATAATATCGTTAAATCGTTACACACATAAATAAGAACGGATCAACTTACTTCAAGATATTTTCGTTTAAGCAAAAGAAATAACAATATATATATTCGTATCGTATTTACCACTTAAAAAATTCGGAAAAGCTTTATTATCGTTTAAAGGACAAAAGATTTGTTTCTATTTATAATTTCATGCATCAAAAACAACTCGAAAGTTTTACATTGCTCTCATTTATTCATATCAATCGTAATACAAAACTTCCTAAAACCTAACAATATAAATTAAAAAAGAAAATAAACTATTCACTATCCAGAAGCATTATCACATTATCGAAAACGTATCGCATATTAATCCACGACATTCGTATGCTAATCAATATCGATTACCTGGCGTAAAAGTAACAGATGAAACAATATGTAATAGCTTTTTAAAGGCTAATAACTTTTATCAATAGAACAAACAAATCACAACACCTTGCATGAGTCATTCAACGTACATGTATTAGCGTGACGTGATTATTCTTATAGAGGAAGTATCTACTCTATGTATGTAGTAAACGAGATCTTAATCAATTCTGAATAAAACATGTTATTTCTCGTTGAAAGCGTGCACATCGAATAAACTTAAATCAATTTCCACTCAACTGTCGACTAAAAGCAGCAAAAGAAGAGGCTTTTTCTATGCTGAAAATGAATATTCACATTTACCCTGAAATACGATTAAATCTTCTAGAAGCAGATGGAATGTTTTATAGATTTCTTTACGATCATCCTTCTATCACAAAGTTGTTACAGAAAGGAAGAAGAATAGGGACTATAAGGAGATGAAAAGTAGTGATTCTTTTATTTCCTTATCCTTGATCAGTTGCAAGAGAGTCCATTTACCTTATTAACCCCTTCCCGTACTTTAGCGAGTCAGACTCGCGATGAAGATTTTGGCCCAAACATGAATATCGCGAGTCTGACTCGCGACCAGATACTTGGACCAAACCGAACTCGCGGACTGTTTTTTTACCCGTTACGATCGTGACTGGATGTTAGTTCCTGTTTACGAACATCAGTCTGACCTGTTTCGTCGAACTAAATGGCACGGGAAGGGGTTAATGAGTAAAAATACAGAACGTTTGTTGCGTAAGTTTAATCATAGGAAAGGAAATAGGATAATTGTCGTACATTTACAAAACATTGCTGTTAGCTATTTAAAAGTCATAAATGTCGCTAATTGTTAAGGAGAAAATATGCGATTGACGCATAGATCCTCGTTATTCATCAGGATTCCAAAGCCAATAGGTTCCTCTACGTACGTAAAAATTTAGTCATTAACATTCTATCAATTTATGATAGAGATCTAAGTATTGACTTTTCACGAAAGAAGGCAAAACATGCGAAAGAACACGTGAGATCTTCAAAAGAAACAAAAAGTTTATAATCTGATTCTAAAGGAAGGCTATGTTTGAGTAAAAGTTTCAGGAATAACACATCAATTTATCAATTTATAAAATTCTTTCACTTTTGGTTTAATTAATACAATGAAATACTGTATAGTAGCGATAGCCTACCTTGATCAGATAATTTATATTGAATAGTCCTCACTTTAAATTGTAAAGAATTGAAGTTGAAATTACAATTCAAACTTATCGTTAGTTGTAATAGAATTTTTCGCAAACTACGATCCTTGGCACAAGTGTGATTCAATACTACGAAACAAGCGGTTAATTTCCACAAGAAAATCCATTTGTTTCTCAAACGAAAAAGAAGGAATGTCTTTTTACCCATTATTCCCATTTTTCATATAACTACTCGTTTTTATGATAATAATAAACGTTATTCTCAATAGCATCTAGGACTCAGCCCGGACCAAGATGGCTACGCAGACCCCTTATTTGGATGCTATTCAATCAATTCCCGGCGACACCCCTGGTGAGAAGCTCAAATGGATAGCGGACTTCGTGAAGCAACAGCTATCCGTGTCCGACAATCTGGAAGATGTAGTCGAGTATGAGAAAATCCCAAAACCTCTTATACCTCTGGTACAAATTCAGGCAGCCATAATGTTAAACAAGAAAGATCCCAAGAATCAGAGCACTTACGAGGCTATAGCAGAAGCTCTAAAATCGGAAGACAAATTGATCGTGAACAAAGCTTTGAAAGTCAGCAACTTCTTCAATGGTACCAACGAAAGTATCACTAATACTGAATATTTTTTCGAAAATTTATTTCCATACGTTTCTTTGAACACTAGAACGCGGATCATCAAAGCTTTGGCCTTGCACTTAGGACCCAGGAACTCTACCCTCGCTGAAAAATTCTTCTTATCAATAGACTCGTTTTACGGTCTAGAGCACGCCTTACCTTTGCTATTAGCATGCAGTGACACTTTTGTATATAACACTATTCTAGAAAAGAGGATGGTACTAAGACGAAACATGGTTAAACTGTTCTTCCGCAAGAATCCAGACCTCGTCGTGCGCTATCTTCGACTGAGCAAGCCGACAAACTACTCCTGTGCGAGAAAACTTCCTTCGGTGAATATCCATGATTTTACTGACATTCTGGTGGGATTGGTCAAGACACGAATAGAGTCGTTTGCAGAACTATGCGAAATGCACGAGAAAGATCCACCAAAAATACTTCTGAGCAACAAGAGCGTCGAAGCGTTCCTGAAGAATGGCAAAGAATACCTGGAGCGAAACGCCAAGTTGTACATTACGATGATTCCTTTGAAGAGTATCGACGACAACTACATGGAAATTATATTTCCAAAACTATTACCAGATAATATCAAAGACTTTGACACTGATAACATGTTGAATTATTTGAAGTACTATCGACAGGATAGAAAGAGGGAGCTTTTCTTGAGAACTTATCAGCAAGTATATAATAGCTGTATTTTGGACGATTCGAAGAAGGTAACTGCTAATTTATTGGAAATATTGCATCCCAGGGATCGAATCAATCAGGCGAAGATCAAATTGCACGCTGAAATTGAAAACTACAAGAAAAGCGAAAATACAGTTATGTGGGAGTGTTTTTTAGCTATTGAAGATTCGTTAACACTGTTCAGAAATGAAATTCGTAAAACCTCACAAATGGAACATAGAATGCGTCTAGCTTGTAGAATGATCCATTCTTGCAAGATAAACAACGATGATCTGGCACTGATAAAAGTCTTGACGTATTTGAAGGACAGGCACTGTAATGAGCAACCTTGGTTCCTATACGAGGTGTTCAAGACTTTGTTGAAACTCTATGATCTTCCTCAAATGGGTGAGGATTGTTGGACGATATTAATTGACATGATAGTACGTGCTCATGTGAAAAAGGACTTGTTGTTCTTGAATGACGTCGGCGTGAAGATGATAGAAGCTGCCATTCACTATAAAATAAATCAGAATCAACCGTTTCATGAGTTAATTGATATGCTGATAGATTTAAAGATTACGAAATGCAGAGGCCACTGGAATATTCTTCAGAAGTATCACAACTACGAGAGAATGTGTCTGGAGGATTGCCTAAACATCGTTTCACAAAAATATAATTCAGACCAGATTCCCTGGAAGCAAGACAGAGCTGAAATCCTTTCCGATCTCTGTTCTTCGATTTATTATTATAACGAGGTCCACGTGAACAAAGCTTCTCGTATAGAACGCATGGCGGTCAAAAACTATCCATGGTTGCTGGAAGCGATAGAGGAAATTATATCTACGATCAAACAGAATGACGTTTATGCAGTTGTAAATCTTCAGGATATGTTCATAAAATACGAAATGGATCTATACGAGCGTTTTTGGCCAAGAACCAGAAAGATAGGTGAAATAGAAATAAGCGGGGCTTTAAAACTTTTGAAGAGAAACCCGCAAGAAATTCTGGATCATTGGAAGGAATATCTAAACGCTTGCAAGGATAACTGGAAGGAAAGGCACACGAAACTCTTCATTAAGGCTATACGTTGGTACAAGGAGATTCCAATTAAATTCGCAGAACAGTGTCTTCAAGATCTGACTGAAAAAAAGGAAGAGGTCTGTTTAGATATCTTAAGCATTCTCGTTTACGGAGAAACGTTCTCAAAGATCATAGAACCGTTGATCCCAACGAGCAAGACGCTGAATATTCATCAAACAGGTGCAAAAACTAATTACCATTTCATTCGACACCTTGTATATGGCATCAGACTCGCAAATCCACCGGTGCCTCTGACAATGTTGAATAGATTGTGCCAAGGGGACTACCTACCACTGGCCCTAACTGCTTTGGTAAACGTTTGTAGAAGAACGAATGTAATGGATGTGATACCTTTTGCTAGAATGTTATCCAGTCAGAAATCAACCGTTCGGAAACACGGGATGAAATTGATGCGTATCGTGGCATCCCGTAATCATTTACTTAACTTCTTCCAAACGCAATGGAAGATCGAAAAGAATCAGTCTATCCGTGAAGTAATATTCTTCATAATCGCACAATTGTTCCAGGAAGAACCAGAAATCCCTACGTGGCTATTGTTCTCTCATATAATCTCCTCGCTCACACTGCGAGATGAAAAAGTCTGCCTCGTGGTACTTATAATGATCAAATCGCTTCCCGACCATTACGTGGTCGATTTTATTAAACAATCCTTAAATATGATCGACACGCTTGAGAGGCTTGGTCTCTCTAGCGATAAGGTTGCGCAGTATACGAGTACGATGTTGAGCTCCATAGACGTAGGTATTTGCAATCTTCTAGCCGAAAATTTCATCAAATTCCTCATTCAAAGATATCTCTTCCACCAAAATCTGTTTATCTCCAAAAGTTTAAACGAGTTTGTGGTTAGAGTTGTGTTGCTCCCGGAGGGGAAAAAATTCGACGGTCGATTGGAGATCTTCTCCAGTTTGCTTAGGGAGGCCATCACGCGTAGTTACAGCCTACCTAATGCCAGAAATGTCCATCTTTTATCAACGAACATTTCTCTTCGTAGGTTCGTAGATACCGTCATGCACACGGTCTCGTGTTCGGAAAATAAGATACGGTTAGTCGATGAAATATTGTCGATGTTTATATCCACTCTTCATCCTCTGATGGACCCCACATCGTACTTGCAATTAACATTTTTGAGGGCGCAACTTACTTCGATCACGCCAGTGCAATACGGATTAAATGTGGGCCAAAAGTTGTGTGATTTGGTTAAGATATTCTCGCCGCATTTTGTATTTTTCATGACTGATATTTTACAAAATATGCCGCTATCGAATTCGTTCGAGTATTACAATAAAATTGAGATCGATTTAGGGATAATCGAGGGATTGGTAGAAATCAACAGCGTCCCATCTATGCTAATGGCAGTGCAAATGATGTACTCCATTAATATAAACGAGTATCAGGGATTGAACGAAGTAACAGATTTCGAAGATATCGATACCTGTAACGAGTATCAGGGATCGAACGAGCATCAGGAAATGACTATCAGACGCGATGGGATCTTAATAAAGTTAATGCAAAGTAAGCTTCCGGCGGTCAGGGCCATGGTCTGTGAAATTATTAATAAAAGAAATTTGAACAACTTTAACATAGATTTATCGAGTTCGATCTGAAAAGGATGGTCAATGGTTCGGTATTGATCGTTGGTTGCCAGTTACTAATCGCGTGTGCAATTGCTGTTCGTATTTTACATTTTATTCGATGGAGTAGAACGAAAGACACACAATGGACGAACGATTGTGATTTTCGCGATAAATGGTTATTGGGTAGTTGATCGAACGATGGATTTTTATGCTTGTCGATACGAGTTAGAGGACGATACGACGCAATTTCAGCGATTAGATAGATCGTTAGACTGTGAAAGCTCGTGTAAAGCTCGCGAGATTTATTTGTTTGTCAGATGTATTTTTTATATTGTACATATAGAAATGTTAAGCACGCGAAGACGCTCAAAGATACTATTTAAGAAAATACCATTGTGATACGAGTCTCGGAACGTTACGTGCATTTAATTATGCATTCGATGTCATAGTACGCATACGAGCCATGTAATAAAGTATTGCACCAATGCGTGGTGTAGTCTTTCTTTTTTATTGAAATTCTACCGTATTTATATAGGAATTTTATCGTGTTATGTAGCCTGAAATTTACAGATTTACAAGATGTTATAAATAAAAAGAATTCAAGACTCTGTAATAAATTTATGTAATTAACGTAATAACAACAGTTAATATGATAACGATTTAAGTTTTTCATTTCCCATTTCTATTTTCCACCATTTCCACGTAGACCGTAAACAATTCTTCCAAAAAAACGATATTACTCGCTGTGAGGCGACCGATGACGTTACTGCGAATACGTTAAGGTATTGAATAGTGAGATAGATACAATTCGTATTAAGCTTTATGTTATAATAATATCGTTGCTCGAAATTGAAAACATTTGCGTCATAATATCAAAGAAAGCTTTTATTCGATTATTAAAATCATACGTGTCGTCGAATCAGAAACTTTCTCGGAAACTGAAGCCGAGCGACGATAACATACATAGAGAAAAGTTGTTCGGTATGTTGTACCTGACAATATATTTCAAAGGCATTGGAATCGGTGAGGTCGTCCGCTTTGTAAATAATTGCAATATCTCATCGGCTGTGCAACCTCGCACGCGAATAAACTAGCCGTAAGCTGCTACACATATTATACTTTGAATAGTGATGGTTAGTATTTATATACAGGGTGGTTGGAAAAGGGGTGATTCTACGCGAAGAAAGAAGTCGAAAATATAGAATAAAAATTTAAAAATTTAAAAATTTTAAAAATTAAAAAAATAACGTCAATCGAGACAATTATCTATCATACAGTGAGATCCGTTATAACGAGACGTGCACGCGTACCGAGCGAAAATTCAAAGTCGATTTTTTCGAAAACAAAGCCTCGAACGAAAAATTTTTATTCTATATTTTCGCTCTCTTTTTTCGCGTAGAATCACCCCCTTTCCGCCTGTACCACCAGTTACCAACCACCCTGTATATAACTGATTTAGTATTTATATAAAAAGAATTTTGCAAAGCACCGAATCTACGTCGCACTTGGTCGTGTGAAAAGTTTAGACGACCTAGCCGTATCGGATTTTGCACCAAACAACATTTTCGATAAACCACAATTCTCAATCAACCGACAAAGGAGCGCTTATAGAAATGCAGATTACGAGGTCTTTGTGCGATAAACTGCCAACGAGAGGACCTACCCTATACACTGAGAAAGGAATTATCTCGTTATCGGTCCAACAGTTGCAGAACAATCACCGAACACCCGTAAACGAAATTGCAGGACGACAAATTCCTCGCGATAACAATAGAACAAATCGAACAAATTTTGCAACTGGGACCAATCGGTGTATTACTTCTACAAGATGCGAAAGATTTCATTCCGATAGGACAATCCACTCGAGAGTAAGAGAAAATGGGAGAAATACGAACGCTTGAAATACAATTTCAATGAAAACCAAACTACAGGAAGTAATCACGCGTTATTGTTTAGACATTTCCCTTTAGATTTTCTACTTAAAAAAAGAGATAAATCAAATAAATAAAATAACGAATTATATAAATGATCATGGAAATATAAAACTTTCACATGACTTTAACAAGGTACCACTTACTGTCCGTAACTACCTGAAGCTTTTTAGACATGGTGCAATCATCACAAAACGAGGCCCACTTAGTGTTGAAAATACGACAGATAACATTGTTCAACAGGAATTACAACTATTTAATTTTACAATCTTCTGGATTTTAGTGGACCAAGTACAAATGCGCAAATCGTTTTTTTCTTTCTAGAGCCCAATTTTCGAGAAAAACGAATTTCGAAAAGATTGCATATTTTCAATTTTGGAGATGTTTTCTGCCAATAGCAGCTATCGAGTTGCTATTGAGACGAAAACACTTATATGTTTAAATAATGATCGAACTGAAAAGGATACCTGAAACACAGCGCATCTTCTTCCTGAAATTTTTCCATTTACTTCAAAAACCAAAAAATCTAAGAGAAAATCTAACCGTAGCACACGACGGAGGAAATATTTCTACCGAGGAAAGCATCGAATGCGAAGTTTGAGAAGACCAACATACATAAAAATACAGGGTGGTTGGTAACTGATGGTACAAGCGGGAAGGGGGTGATTCTACGCGAAAAAAGAAGTCGAAAACATAGAATAAAAATTTTTCGTTCGAGGCTTCGTTTTCGAGAAAATCGACTTTGAATTCTCGCTCGGTACGCGTGCACTTTATCGCGTCTCGTTATAACGGATCTCACTGTAGATCGTTGTCTCGATGGAAAAATTAAAAAAAAAAAAAAAATTGTTATTCTATATTTTCGACTTCTTTTTTCACGTAGAATCACCCCCTTTCCGCATGTACCACCAGTTACCAACCACCCTGTATATGTATAAATACGCATTTACTCATCCAACTGAGATTTCTTTCTTCTCTTCTTTCTCCGAAATTGGTATAACAATAGAGTATACGTGTTTTTGGAACATTTCGCTTTTGTTGTTTGTAGGTCTTTTTTCGCGTTTCTAACCGAATTCCTTTGTACACGGTATTTCGTGGAAAAAATGCGATTGTACAGTGAAACTGGTGATGTAAAAAAAGAACTTACGCGAGGCGTCGAAACCAGTGATGAAATTTGGACACTGGGCGTATGCAGTCGTTCCTGCTGGAGTATTTGGCCAGCAGGACCATCCGTCAAATGTCATCCGACAGTATGGCTCTGAAAGATATAAAAAGCATTTCTCTATGAAGTATACTATTTATCCTGTTTCGGTTAAATGAAACGATCTTTTCGCATTTTTATCTCCACTATCCGTAGCTAGAGAATGTGTCAAACTCGTCTTAATATTTAAACGAGGGAAGCATTTTGTTCTTTCGATTTATATCGATAACAATTTCAGGCAACTGAATTTCAGACAATAAATAAGACTTAAAAATAAATAAATAAAAAATAAACAGATCGATGGCTTTTAGTTAAATCTTTATGAATATGCAATAATTTAATTACAAGGCGTTCATAACTTTGATGTATACTCTTCGTAATACTTTCTGTCTTATTTAAAATCTAAAATAATCCGACAGAATAATCCAAAGGAAAGCAACCCAATAGGTTTCTCGGAGCATTCGCAAGAAAACAACGCGTTATATTACATCGGATCTCGTAATAACTCCGTTAAAATCATAAGCTTTGTTATTTGGCCAAAACAATTTAAACAGCATCTATCGTTAACTCGCAGCCGGCTACTTTTGTCTCAAGCTCTCTTCATATAATGGCATACCGTAAACAGAGATGAGAAAAGAGGGAAAAACAAGGAGGGAAATGAAGAGAATCTCTATATTTAGAACTCTTCTTCTGGCATGTACAATCGTGTTTCTCAATTTCGTTTCGAGCGAATGCAAATGTTGTGGATAACAGCTATTACGTAGTATCTTCTTCTTTTTCATTCCCCGACGGAATACTATCCGCAGTTAATTGAAACAGCGATATCCAGACGCTTTGGAAATCACCTCAGATACTCTCGGATCACGTAACAGAAGTGAACCTAATTCTTGTCGTAATAAACGCCGTTTCATGAAATAAATTGAACGAATCTTTTTACGGGATTCCGGACACGATGAAAAGTGGCTCGAAAGGTACGTATTCAGCACGTGAAGAGACGTAGGTGAATTTCAAGAATCTCTGCTAGTCGTTGGAACATGTGCATTTCACGTTTGATAGCTTCTACGTCATATCAGGCAATATCAGGGGAAATTGATACGCGTATAATACGCGTATGTAGAATACGTGATGTGAAAATGTAATGGTATGTAGCGGCGAACAGCGTTTGAGATTCAGTTTACGTATATTTCGTTGCGAATTTTCCAACGACTTAAATTAATTTAAATTAGCCTTAAAAAATTTGTTGTTCAGTTTAATTTATTATATGTTTGCGATTGATAATAATACGTAGGATAACGCGTCCCTTTTAAAATGTTCCTTGTCTCTGCTTTCTTCTACTTCTCCTCCCTTTTCTCCTTTTCGTTTTTCTTTTCCCTTGCCCATCTTCTATTCTCTTTCCTTCTTTCCTTCGTTCGACGAAAATTTCCATATCCTAACGAGGAAATTCGCAAGACAAAACGTCGACCAGTAAAATACAATATTCAAACAAATCTAGATCAGTAATTGAGTTTCGTATTTTTACTTTTATCCCCCTGTTCCTCTTCTATTTCCGGTTTAAGTTGGCACACGCGTGTAAGTATGAATAAAGAGGATCTTCGAAACGTATCGTTGAAAGTATTATATTTAGAAATGCGACGAGTAAATAATCACGTGATTCGCGACAATTTATTCGTGAATACCGTTTTTACAAATGCATTGCGTTATTCATTAATAAAACATTTATACAGGGTGGTTGGTAACTGGTGGTACAAGCGGAAAGGGGGTGATTCTACGCGAAAAAAGAAGTCGCAAATATAGAATAAAAATTTAAAAATTCAAAAATTTAAAAATTTAAAAATTTGAAAATTTAAAAATTTGAAAATTTAAAAATTTGAAAATTTAAAAATTTGAAAATTTAAAAATTTGAAAATTTAAAAATTTGAAAATTTAAAAATTTGAAAATTTAAAAATTTGAAAATTTAAAAATTTGAAAATTTAAAAATTTGAAAATTTAAAAATTTGAAAATTTAAAAATTTGAAAATTTAAAAATTTGAAAATTTAAAAATTTGAAAATTTAAAAATTTGAAAATTTAAAAATTTGAAAATTTAAAAATTTGAAAATTTAAAAATTTGAAAATTTAAAAATTTGAAAATTTAAAAATTTGAAAATTTAAAAATTTGAAAATTTAAAAATTTGAAAATTTAAAAATTTGAAAATTTAAAAATTTGAAAATTTAAAAATTTGAAAATTTAAAAATTTGAAAATTTAAAAATTTGAAAATTTAAAAATTTGAAAATTTAAAAATTTGAAAATTTAAAAATTTAAAAATTTAAAAATTTAAAAATTTAAAAATTTAAAAATTTAAAAATTTAAAAATTTTAAAAATTTTAAAAATAACGTCAATAGAGACAACGATCTACAGTGAGATCCGTTATAACGAGACGCGATAAAGTGCGTACCGAGCGAAAATTCAAAGTCGATTTTCTCGAAAACGAAGCCTCGAACGAAAAATTTTTATTCTATATTTTCGACTTCTTTTTTCGCGTAGACTCACCCCCTTTCCGCTTGTACCACCAGTTACCAACCATCCTGTATATACTTACGTAGCTTTATTTGCAATTTCTCAGAGAATCGTGGAAAAATAACCAACGTTTGAAATCCTATCGACCATCCGTATCGGCCTCGATCACAGCAAATGTACAAAGAAATAGAAAATTTAACGAATTCAATAAAACGGCTAAACGTTAATTCTAGCTAACGTATCGCGAAGAGAATTAAAAGCGCAATGGTTATTTACGTCTACAAATGGAATTGGAAATTTATTCAATCACGATTTATATTTATTTCGCCGGCGATCATGGATGGTGTCATTTTATTTCAGAGCATTTCAATACTCCAGTAACAACAAATATCGCGCGCAAAATTTCATGCAAATCGATATTTCTTCAATCTTCTAGCTTCAACGTCGATTTGCTCGTTCGCTTTGTATCTAAGTCGTCAACTAAAAACAATAGATAGTTTACAAACTTTTGATACAAATCGAACGTGAATAGAAACGGCGCGAGATCGATCAAGTTTTCCTCTCAACTTATCAGGTTGTTCGTATTGTTCATATCGGACAATGACTCTAAAGTGCAGAATTACGCCGGAAAATTTTGCTCTCGATTCACAACCTGCTAAAATATCTCGCTGTTTAATTAAATCCAATATCGTAACGTGTGATCGAACGTGCTATTAATGATCGAACGTGCTATTAATGATCGAACGTGATACTAATGATCGAAGAACGTTAAACGATTAACGAGCTTGAACGTCAATCGACGTTAGCGCGTACATAAATTACGATCGTCAGTGATCGTTTGTCCGACAAAATGTCTGGCCATTTGCAAGGATAGTCATCATGACGGCGAAACGTAGCAAAACGAATAATATTCGCTTTGGAGATCTCCGCTGTATAATACCGTGCAATTTAAACAAGATATTACGTATTTGGATCGAAAACGATAAACGTTAATGTTTAACACTCTGATTGCCACGTTGGTCATATGTGACCTGCCACACTGTGATCATTGATGACCGAAGCGCTTGAACTTCTTACGATTGTAAAAACTGTATGAAAATTGACAGTTAGGGCATTTTGAATATAACCGATAAATAGAAGACACTTTGAAATAAAAAGTGTCGCATTGAACGATTAAACATTTTTACTAGAACATCTAAAAAAATGCATCTAACGATGCACTGTGTTTGCATCGATATCTTTGAGGGCTAATCTACGAATATTATTATAAACACAGCTTAGAAAATAATCGTAAATTCTGCTTTATAATCATATAATCGAAGTTAGAAGTACGAACATACCTTACTATTATATATAGAACGAGCAAATACCGTTTACTAATATCTTGTGCGCGTTTCAACAACTAAAGCAGTAAAAATAACTGCAGTAAAATACACTATTTATCGACTATCGTACTTTAGTTTATACGTAACGAAATGGAAAACAGCCTAATCTATGAATAATGCAAATTTGTCGCAGGATAAGATTTTATTTTTTCCTTTGTCATATAGTATCGCGAAAGTAACCTCGAGCTGCTTGAACTTATAATAAGGCAATTAAATTCGAAAGAAGAAAGGGAGCTTTTAATGGAAAGCTAGTGAAAACCTTGAAAAACGATTACATGTACATAATCAGAATCGATTGGAAATTAACGAGCCATCGCGTTTAATAGGTCGAACAAGCTGAGCGCGAGCTGAGATCTAACTTCGAAATAAACGGAAATAATAATTTTTCTTTTTTTTTACTACACTCAATCAGATCCTCTGAACGATAGCTTCTTTCCTGTGTTCGTTGTATGAAAGAGAAACAGAGAAGAGCTGTTTTTCCTCGAGCTTGAACAAATTTAATCTCTTTCAGAGGGTATAATACTCTGTCATAAGACGACCATAGAAATAAATAAATCGAGAAGTGGCTAATTCGTCAATCTCTTATAACGTATTTACCGTTTTCGTATCATATAGCCCAATTTAAAATAATAAGAAATGAATCAATATTGATTATTTGATATATTATTATTAAATATAATCTCTACAAAGGAACTGCATGTATTTTATATTCCGATAAAACGAGTAGCAATCTGACGAAGCAGAATAGCATAAAAGTAACTCATTATTATCTCTTCGACGGAAAATGTCTATTATCGTTCGAGTCATAGAACACTAAACAAAACGCATTATCTCGCAAAACAACGAATATTTTCCTCTAGACGATAATTTAATGTAAAACTTGTTTATATAGGATAGAATAGTCTATCTCTTTATATAGAATGGACGGAAGTAAAAGTGGATAATTATGAATAGATAAACATCGAGGAACGAAGTTATATTTTAGCTGCAAGAAATTGGCAGAGAAAGTAGAAAGTGTAAAAATCGATTTATTTGAAATATCCCATGTTATAGAATATTTTGTAATTCTACGTGAATTTGGCAGCAAACACGTCATTCTATGCATTCTACGCACAAGTAATTCAATTACTTAATACTAAAAAGTAAATTCGGTACGAAATACATCATGCAACACGGACTAAAGTATCAGGTTGTCCGAAAAGGTTCTTTCGTTTCATAAGGAAATAATAGACGCACAATGCTTTTTGTTTTATATTAGTTTATCGAATTACGCACGAACATAATAATAGAAAAATAGAACGAAATGGATCATACCTAATTCAGTAAAATAATATAAAACAGAAATCCTTGTTCATCTATTATCACTTTATAAAACGAAAGAAACTTTTTCAACGATCTAATACTTCTGAAGGATGGAAAGTATATATTTTTGTTTAAATATCCTGCCAACTAGAGAATATATTACAAATGAGATATTTATTTCAAATATTCCAGATCATATACGGTAATCTATGATGTCGTCCAACTTTTTGACCATGAATAGCGAGAGAAGGAAAAGTATAGCCTCCCTCTCTAACCGTTCGAACCGTATCAAAGTAGAGCAATTATTGGTTTTCAACAAATATAGGAACTGCATTTGCTCGAAATTCAAACAGTCGCAACACGCAAGTATATTGTAGGTTGATAAGCTGCGTGAAATTCAAAGGAAAAGCAAAATGGCCTATTCATCTTTCGACTGTGTAACAAGTCGTTAACTCCGAACGGTGGACATGCTTTCGAGCGAAGAACAACGTAACACGCTGGCCAGAACGATATAATGTACAGCGGCACGTATTCTTGATTAATGTGAACGTCACCTATTCCACTCGCAACTTACATCGTGCACATGGTTGCATTTTCCTCGAGAAATTGCCGGTCGAAACTCGTAATTAACGTGACTAGGAAGCCGATTACCTCTCGCCATGTGACATAGTTTCCGCGTTAAAGAAAATAAAAATAGAGAGCCAGTCTTTGGGGACCGTGTTTCCTTATGACACGTGGATTTAACGTGCCACGATTTTTCACCGACGCGGGGTTGAAAAGGAAAG